GCTAGTCCACACTGGGAATGGTGTTTTCTGGGATGTTGAATGACTGCTAATTCATCATTTTATGTCAGTGAAACAGCCAGAAGTTAAGGTAACTTGAGCCAGATATTAGGGTTCAAAGATAATCCTCACCTGAAGTGGTGTAAATTTAAGATGCTTATAGGGCATTTAGAATTTGTTAACAAGCTTTAAACATACAGGCACCCTTAACATTGTCTAATTGTAATGTATAACATCTCTGTAAGTAAGGGGTGTTAAACTCATCTGGCTGTATGGGCTGCATGGGTGGCATGGGGCTGGTCCACAAGCCAAATCAGGTCCACAGGCCCCCTCCTGCCCCAACCTGCATTGTTAATCTACCACAGGCAGCAATCACCCAGGTGCTACATGCAGGGATGGTCCTGTGCAGCACCAGGGGCTGGATTATGGGGCTCTGCAGGCCACTCCTGCCCTAAATGATATATTTCATCCTAAATCAGCTCCCACCCCCAGAACCACTTCCTACTAGGATATTCTCAAGAAATCAGCCAACTGATTAGTTGCACTGAAGTTGAAAACATCATTTTTGTTGTTATTATTTTTAATATTTCTAATATAATTTGCACCTTCAAGTTGTTCAGTCACTAACGCATGGAACCTTATGATCTTGTTACCACAGGCTTTGTACCACTTCACTTCTTGTTACCATTTCACTTTGTCAGCAATTGCTCCTCTACCTACAGTAATTCAAATGAACTTTCAGTTGTAGAGAAGCCTGTAGTCAGTCCATCTCCTTCTCCCAGCCCGTCCCTTTCTCCTTCTCCCTTCCCCTCCCTCTCCCACATGCACACACACACCTCAACTAGATTGTGAAATTCTATGGGGAAGGAATTGTAATGACTGTGTTAGACACCGTGTTTTTGTACAGTGTCTAACACAACATGGGCCAGTCTTGACTAACTGGTACCTTTGGACCCTGCTACAATGCAAATTCATTAGTATCAAAACTAAACCACTTCTTTTAAAGAGTTAATTCATTCAGAAACAAAGGTTGAAACCAAGCCAGCTGGAATGACTTTCAAGGGAGGCGGCAAGAGAACATGTTGAAAGACCAGAGTAACAGGAAAAACTTTAAAAATAAATAGGTAGCGTGGGTGGGAGAATAAAAGCCGAACAGCTAGGGTAGAATTATCAGCAGAACCTGAAGGATATGGAGTACTTAAAAGGGAACTATACCAACGAAGGGAAAAAGAAAACCAAGGACAAGGTGCAGCAGACAAGGTTTGGTTACCTCCGAGTTTAAGAAATTTAGAATCTAGACGCAGTCGAAAAAAGGAGAGAAACCAGCTTTAATAAAAGCCTGAGGGAACCAACAAAGTTAGAATAGGGAGAGAGATGGCAGGTCTGGAGTAGGTTTAGGCTATGTCTATTACGGGATTACTTTTTGAGTATGGGAATAGCAGCATACTGTTCTGACAATGCACTCCTAGTGGTGAGTAGCTATACCAACAAAACTGCACTGTATTTAGTAACTGGTCTCCCAGGAGCAAAATGCAGCTTTACTGCCATCATTATGTTTGTACTAAAGCCTTGTGCCAGCATAGATATATAAAGCAAGGTTTTCCACACCCCTGACTAACATGTCTAATCAAGCAGATGCATACTGTAGATAACCTAAAAGGAAAAGAAAAAAAGGAAATGGGTGACATTGAGAGAAAGTGAGATGACTGAAATGGGAATGAACTGATGAGCACTGCAACAGGACAAGTGCAATCACCGGAGTTGTGTGCAAAGATCCTAGCCATAAAGAAAAGGTTATTTAAGACTATGCTGCATGCAAAAGGTGAAGAGGTTGATGTAGCTCAGAAGACAATGGTTATAGGATTTGGCAAGTTAGCAGCAACTCAGGGAACATGCACAAAAAACTTTGATACTAACCATGGATCTGACTGTGCTGGGTTGCTCCATGGGCATCATGGGAGGGGGAACATAGAAAGGACCCTGTTGATCTCCTACTTAGCAATCCCTGAATTCCCTAAAGGGACTGATTTCTGCTAATATACCTTCAGGCAAGGTGCACTAAAAAGGGTGTGGGGAGAACAGAGCAATCTCCCACTTCTCACTGCTCCATCCCACAGAGGTGGCTGGTACAGCAGAGAGTACGCCATAACCTCTGAAGCAGCATGCTAGTAGATGCACTCCAAGAAACAAACCAAATGAGAGGAAAATGCAGCTTTGGGTATCTGTACAGGTACCATGAACTTCACCCAACACATCCTATTAAGCATTTCTCCTTTCCTTGCTATTATTTTTGGAGCCTGTCTGTATCAGGTGAAGTATTTACAAGTATTTCCATGACATAAATTACCATTACACCTGATTTCTTAGGAGGAGCAGTGTTGCAATATTTCATCAAGTCACAGTAGGGTGAGGTATTGTGACTGGTACAATTAGTCAGAAGGGGAGAAGACAGGTCAGGACCAGAAGGTATTCCTGCCAAGGCTACAATCTCAGCAGAAGCAGCATGAAAAGCAAGGGTGATACAGGATGGAAACAGCAGCAGTTCACTGGATAGATCTCTTGTACTATGCTTTGAATACTTGCACATCTTTTCTCTACCATCTAAGCTCCAACCTTCAAATTGTTGGGATTATCTTGCCCCCTAGTGGCTAGCCCATAAAATTCATATACAACCAGATTCAATCCAGGTGTCAATGGACTTCAGATTTAGAAGTGAGATGTGCAGTGGCATAAATCGGATTCCCTTGAATCTGCTTACATGGTCCGATTGGAATGTCAGGGATTATAAACAGGTGTGGTGTAAAAAGGTGCAAGTTAAATCACACCTTCTGTCCTCTGCTTTAAATTACATATATTACATGCAATCCCTGTATGTCATTATACTCTGCCCAGAAACATTTCTGGCTCACTGGCATGTAACTTAAACAATCTGGACTCCTTCAGATTTAGTAAGTATAAGTAGAACTGTTTGGAAAAGTTTTCAGTTGCTATAGAAATCTGATAACTAAAATATTGCCGAAATTCTAGAGAAAAATGTTCATTTTATCAGCAAAAATTGAAAATGTTTCAGTTCTGTTTTCTGTGAGAACTCAGAATTTAGGAAAGTAAATACTTTCTGCTTTCTTGAGTTGAAAAAACAACTTTACAGCAAAAATGTTTTGATGAACAGCTCTAAACATATTGATAAGTGAAAATCATAGTAAGCCAATAGGAATCAAAGCTGGATTAACAGAAATTGAAGGGTCCTAAAATATATAAATGGTATTGATTTAGGTACTCATTAGCATTATCTATTCAAATAAGTGAGTTGGATATATGGAACTTACACCCTCTTATGCTCAGACTTTCTAAAAGGATTTAAGCTAGTATACAGGGATATAATGTATTGCCTTCTGCATGTCTCCTGTAAGTTTGGTTCTCAGATTTACCTCTGAATTTGGTTTAGCAGATTTAAACCACAAGTTAATTTAATTTATAAATCATGGTGAAAAAAGAGAGAAAAAACTGTGTGTTTTTTTAGCCTCATTTGTAGCATGTCCTACTTGGAAACTATAAAACTAACAAATCCTTCACTTAGATTTAACATAATGAGTCAGCATCCAAAAATGACTTCTGATGAACTAGCTGCGGATGTGGTCCAGTATCTTCTCTGTATGTTACTATGTGATTCTTCGCTCCTCCTGATAGCCTAACCATCTGCTCTCCCCAACACTCTGTGGAGGACTGTACATAAAAGTAGGGAGAAGTGAGATGAAACCATTTAATAAACAACTTATTTCCTGAAAGCACACTTCACGTTGGTCCTTTGGGCTCTACAATGTGAAATTTCTTGACCACGTCTCTCTCTAAACAATTTTCAGTGGTGAGCTTGGCTATTGTTCAACACTGTAGGACTGACTAATGAACTAGAATTTCTATCTGAATATCTTCAAAGCAGTCCCTGAAACAAAGACCTTGTGTGGAAGACCTAGCCGTGCCACCAAAGTAAAATTGCAGTCTCTCTTGGGATTGGATAGTCTCCTTGCATTTCACCCACCATGACTTAGATGTTAAGCAAGGAATCAAACAGATACAGTTCTGGGGGACAAAGCCAACGCTAATTCCTGCAACTTAAAAGTATGGCTCCTCTTCACAGAGCTCCATCATCCCCATACCCTGTCCTTACCACATCAGATGTTCCTGCATTGATCTCATTAGGTCTTGTCTGTGGGAGTCAGATTCTCTATGCTGCCTTGCTTGATGCCCAGGCAGCCGGTTTCTGGCTGTCGGCCTTTTGTCCCATTCTTCATTCTATGGTCACAAATATACAGTCATACATCCTCCATTTACCCTTATCCTTCAGAGAGGGGTTGTCTGGGCCAGTGCCCAAAGCTCACATTCTAGATCCACCTCTCTTTCTCCTTTTCCAGACCTCCGGGACAAAGCCCCAGACCCACCGGACTCAAAGTCACCAGCTTGGCTGTGGCAGCTTCCTCGTTGTCCCTGCTCTTCAGGTGAGTCTGTTGGTATAATTCTCTTCAGAGTCTCCCTGGCTGGCGAAACACCGTCACTGCAGCTCTGTGCTCCCCCAAGCTTCCCTTGGTGCAGCTTCCCTCACCAAAGGAGAGCCGTCTGCTTGGCCAACTTTCTTTTAAATACCCATGTCAATCAGCTGTGTGCGAGGTGACAGTATCCCTTTCGCTGTCCTGCCGGCCCTCACAGCTGATCACAATAATTAGCATCTGGGGATTTCGGCATGTCTTTTCCCCCATCCAGGCTTGCCGCCACACTAAGTTTCGTTTCCCCCTTTCTTCTTTTGGTGTCTCGTGACAGGGTAGGCTTACTGCTCTGTCACGCCTTGCAAAGAAACCACAGACTCACTGAACTGTTCACCAAGTTGCTGACTTAATGACCAAGAAAGTCTTTATGGTCATGCTTTTTTAAAATTAACCTGTCAAACTTCAAAAGAATTCCCCTTGAGTGTTAGTGACAAGTGCCATTCTTTTATTTCATGTGCGGTTTCCTTACTGTGTTTTGGTTGAACAGTGAATGGATTGTTGGAAGAAAGGGCAAAGTAGCAGCTGGATTTATCCCACTCTGATCCTCTGTATATATGGATTTTTCTACACAATGAAGCCACTGGACTCTTTTCTAATTCCCTATCTAACAGGACCAGACAAAAACCTGACCATTGATGAGGTATGGCTATACACAGTCTTTCCCATTAAATGGCACAGCAAATAATGAATGTGTTTCCTGATTTGTAGAGAATTTAAAGACATACCCTCTACTTCCTAATGCTGAAAAGGAAAAGATTTATGCACAATTTCCTGAGAAAAATTAAGCTCTTGGTCTTAAGCTCCTGAAATCTTCCCTAAAGGGGCAAATGAACTCATGTGAAGACAAATAAAGAGTCAGGTAGCTTATACAGTTACAAAAGGTAGAATAGCTAAGGCATTTAGCTATGGTTCATGAGGCAGGAGACTGAGCACTATTCTGTACTCATACTAAAGGCTGTCCCTACCAACCCACCCATAAATGGGTGGTCAGACAGACTTGGAAGTCAATGGCCACCAGAGGAGATAATATGCTTTTATTATCACTTTTATTTCTAGAAGCTGGTACACTTCAATTACACTACCTTGATGGAGTATGGGATATATGCCATGTAGGCTTCAGGTAAAAAAGGTTTGGCTAGCAAGGTTTGTAAATGAAATATTTAAGTCAGGTAGTGAGCAATGAGATGTGTGCTTCAAGCTCCTTTAAGTCGTATATCTGATGCATTCCCAACAACTCAGGGAGAACAATCCTTCTTCTACAACTTCATCTGCCAATCACACAATCCTTTCCTTCCACTTCTAGGTAACAAATCATGTTTTCCCAGTTTGGACATACTCCTACCTGGTGCTGCTGGTTCCAGTTTTCCTGATCACAGACTACATGTGCTATAAGCCAATCATTATTCTTCAAGGAATCAGCTTCATCATTACTTGGCTGATACTAATGTTTGCACAAGGAATGATAGCCATGCAGATGGTGGAGGTTTTCTATGGTCTGGTCACAGCCACAGAGATAGCCTATTATTCTTACATTTACAGCGTTGTCAGTGCTGACCACTATCAGAAAGCAACAAGCTACTGCAGAAGCATCACACTAGTTGCATCCACAGTTGGGGCAGTGCTAGGACAACTGTTGGTATCATTGGCAGGCTTATCCTATTTTTATCTAAGCACTATAAGCATGGCTTCTCTCTCCTTAGCATTTGTTACTTCACTTTTTTTACCAATGCCCCAAAAAAGCATGTTTTTTCATAGCATCTCAGACACTCCCCCAAGTACAAAACAGGGAGAGACAAAAGCATCCAGCACTAACGAGCAACCTGATGGCCAAGATGACAAAGACTCTGTCAAGTCAGCTGCAAACCCCAGCACCTCACCTGAGTGCCACCCTAACACTGCTAAGCAACAGAATCATGTGCTGAGAGTGCTGGTGCAGTTGTTCAAGGACATGAAGGAGTGCTACGGCACAAAGAGGCTTCTTTACTGGTCTCTCTGGTGGGCATTAGCCACTGCAGGCTTCTATCAGGTCCTGAATTATGTCCAGGTGTTATGGGACCACAGGGCACCTTCCCAGAGCTCTGCAGTATACAATGGGGCTGTGGAAGCAATAGCAACTTTCCTGAGTAAGTAAACGATATCAAAGAATTTCCAGTGGTAAAGGAACTTGCATTTCAAATATACAGGCAGTCCTCGGACTTATGACAAAATTGGTTTCTGAAAACTGTCTCTTAAGTCAAAACGTTGTAACTCAGAACCATTTTTCCCATAGGAAACAATGTTATAAATGGGAATTGGTTCCTGAACCAAGGCCTGATACCCTACTTTCACCAAAAATAACCCAGAATGTTGTACTCAATCAATTATAGATGAACAATATAGCTACATCAATGCACTTAATATTGTAAATAGCAATCATATTGATTTGGAAAAACTTATTTGGGGTGACTTTATTGGACTTTTTGAAGGGCTCTTGGCTGGAGTCTTCTCAGGCGTCTTGGCTGCAGGTTTTTCTGGAGTCTTGTCTGCTTTCTTAAAGAAAGTGTCCAAGCAAGTTTAGATGGATGCTCTCCAGGAACATAGACAATGTAGTAAACTTGTTCACTAGTGTGGCATCGTGTCAGATCAAGTGTTGTAAAGTTGAAACTGACGTCAGAAAGTTCATAGTTTCATAGTTAGTAGGGTTGGAAGGGACCTGAGCAGATCATCAAGTCCGACCCCCTGCCACGGTAGGAAAGAGTACGGGGGTCAAATGACCCCGGCGAGGTGTTCATCCAGCTGCCTCTTAAAAACCCCCAGGATAGGAGCCAGCACCACTTCTCTTGGAAGCTGGTTCCAGATCCTAGCCGCCCTGACCGTGAAGTAGTGCCTCCTGATGTCTAACCTAAATCTACCCTCCGCCAGCTTGTGACGGTTATCTCTTGTCACTCCTGGGACAAGAGGGCCCGAGGACTGAGCCCTGGGGGACCCCACTGCCCACATCCCTCCAGGTCAAAATTGACCTGTCCACCACCACTCTCTGGGTGCAGCCCTCCAGCCAATTAGTGACCCATCTGACTGTGTAGGTGTTGACGCCACAGTCTCCTAGTTTTTTAATGAGAATGGGGTGACAGACAGTGTTAAAGGCCTTCCTAAAGTCCAGAAAGAGTACCTCCACCACGACACCCACGTTCAAGGATTTTGTGACCTGGTCATAGAAGGCCACCAGGTTGGTCTGACAGGACATGCCTCTAATGAACCCATGTTGGTTGCCCCTAAGCATAATCTCCCCTGCTGGCCCCTCATGGACATGCACCAGGATAATTCTCTCAAAAAGCTTACCCAGGACCGAGGTAAAACTGACTGGCCTATAGTTTTCTGGGTCCTCCTTCCTCCCTTTTTTGAAAATGGGAACCACATTGGCCCTTTTCCAGTCCTCTGGCACATCACCAGAGCACCACGAGTGCTCATAAAGCCATGCCAGGTGTCCCACAATGACCTCTGCTAATTCCCTCAGCACTCTGGGGTGGAGATCATCAGGACCTGCTGAAGTTGAAACAGGGTGTCAAATTTATAAACATTATAAGTACAAAACATAACTCAAAATGTAAGTCAAGGACCGCCTGTATCCTAACATGTTAAGTCTATGTCCAGCGTGTCCAGCCGTAGCACAAAAGGAGAAAGTGAGTTGTATGTTGAAATAACAGTTCATGAGAAGTACAGTACCGCGACTGATTCTGGTAATACAAGGGCTCCCAACTGTGGTCTGGAGATCCTCTGTGTCCTATGCAGCACTTAACAAGTGTCTGTAGGGAGCCTAAGCATCATAAAGTCTCTGTGTCCTGCTACTAAATTCCACTTAAATGAATTAAAAAATGCATGGCTGATTTGCAACTGCTTTCCATGTCTGCATTGATGCAGTTGCTACTGGGATGTTATCCATTCATGAATGAAAAAGGAAGTTTCTGTGGACACTCCATAACAGGATATGGATCACATTAAAAAAAGTTAGCAGTCCTTCTATTATATATGGCGTATATGCACATTGGGAAGCTTTCTTCTCGTGATAAAACTCCAGTTTATATACAAGATTGTGTTATTAAAATGGGAGGAAAATCAATTAGATTTCAAATGTAATTTTCAAGTTTTGAAGCATCCTTGATTAAAAATTGCATCAGTTTAAGCCTCAGTTTTGAAGTGGCAGCCTATTAGGACAAAGAGCAGATTAAGAATTTCT